CACCCCACTACCTCCACGCTCCGGTACCGCCCCCTCCCACCAATCGGACAGCTTCGGCCACGCCCCCAGGGCACTAGACCGCCGCCAATGAGCAACTAGAGCTAGGTTGGGAGCGGCGCCGGCCAATCACGGAGGCCGAGGACGCCTTGAATCTCTGGGCAAGTTAAGTTTATCTCCCAGCCTCGGTACTGAAAAGAGAAGGCGGGCTAGTTAGGTAGTGGGGTGGGAGGGAATATAGTTTGTCCTGCTCCGCCAATAGGAGGAAGGGGGTGTGTCACATGCAAATTACCCCGGGAAGCCCAGCCCGTCCCCGAAAGCAAGCCACGCCCCCCTCTCTAGGTCCCTGCAGAAATGGTGAAAAGAGTGAGATAAATAGCTGGGAGCTAGAGCTCGCTAGTGGATCTAAAACTGAACTAAATATTTCCTGATTTCTTGAGAAAGGTTTAGAAGGTGGCGTGGGGGCGGGGAAGTAAAATGCTCATACCATCACGTCAGTGGTTAGGCTTTTTCCCAGCCCAAATGTTAGCTTAGCTGTAAAGAAGACTGCAGTCACGTAGCGCTTTGCATTCAGGGAGCTCTAAGAACTTTATGCATCATTTATCGTGAGTCTTGGTTTGCAAAACACCAGTTACCTGAGGCTTGGGCGTAGAGCAGGGGATGCTTGAGGCATATTACACATTAATCAGTTGGCGGGGGCGGGGGCACAAAACCCCTGGTTTCGCGGTTTCCTCTCCACCTGAAACCCCTTTTCGCAGTCCTCTCAGTAATGAAAGTTGCTTTATTTGTCTAGCACTAAAGGGCCAAAGAGACAGGTTTGTTTTCTCACCCCAAAGTCCTTTCTAAGGCAGCTGGTCAGAAACCTGCAGAAGGCACAGCCCTGCTTGGAAAGGAAGGTTCAGGGAATAAATTGCCTTTTAAAACTATTGGGCCGGACCGGCCTCTTCCAAAGCTAAAAACGGTGAGTCAGGGCTTTTTGCGTTCACATTCTGGAGAAGGCAGATGTAACTGGGGAAAGCTCCGGCTGACGGGATAGGAGGGGGGCAAGGCCGGCGGGGGAGCCAGTTCTCCCGAGGGGGCCAGCAACGCGCGTGCGGGGCGAATGCGGTTCCGCACGCCAGACGCCCCGAAACCTGCTCCCCAGTGAGAACAAAGGCAGGCGTCCAGCGAGAATCTGATTGGTGCGGGGCCTCCCCGCTGTCCTTCGGGCCCCGGAGATAACTTGTCTCACGCACTGACGCGGAGCTCTCGGCTCCCAACTCCCCGCCCGGCCTTGGCTGTGGCCACACTGGACTGTGCGCTATGACATCACCTGTTTTCGCTCTTTAGAACAGGATCCGTCTTCTCGGCTTCTCGGGTTTTAAAGGTCTCTAGTGTACGCTCATTTGTGAAGGCCTGCAGTTCGCAGAATGAATCTGTGATGATTGCAAAGAACGGTATTGCTGGTTTGCATTTCTTTCTTTCCTTTTTAAATTAAAAAAAAACGACCCCGGCTTCCTTTGGGATTCAGGAGGGTGTTGTGATGCAAAATCAGAAAGGTACACTGGGAGGAGCTAGCAAGTTTAGCATATCAAAGCTGTTAGACCAAATTGTGTGGTTAAAACTGCCAATCTCCTCTCATTTTTACAGACCAACAGGCATAAACCAAGTCTACACAAGGAACAAAGGAAATGGAAATCTTCCAGTGTTGGGTTTAAAAAGATTAAAATAGACTGGAAAACCCCAGAAGCTCTAAGTTCTGTGGCTGGCTAATTGTGTTGATCCATTGAACTAGTGATAGCTAAAGGTTGCTTAATGCTCTGTAGACTGTGTAGACTAGACTATATTCTAGACTATATAGCCTAAAATAGCAATGGTGTGAACAAGGTGCTTAAAATTCAGGCAGGAGAACAGTAAAAGCCAGGAAGTTCAGCAAAGGGAGAAATTACCACATACTTTCCAATGCAAAAACAAACAAACCAACAAAAAACCAAGAAATCCAGGAAGAAAGTTAGCAAGGCCCCGTTTTCCCAGAACTAAAACACATATGTGGTAAATTTCTTGGGCTATATTCCTAAGTGGTTCTGTCTTGTAAAGCAGATTTTATGTGAATACATTTTAAAGGAAAGAAGAAATTGAACGATGAAGTGAGAAGAAATTGAACGATGAAGTGAATTTTTATGCAGAGATAGAAATTTCTGAAATAGCATATTAGCTTCTAACTATTTTTTGTTTGTTTTAGAAATAAGCACTTCACGAGTTTTATTTATTGATTAATTTGGGGGGATGGAGAGAGAGAGAGAGAGAGAAAGAGAGAGAGAGAGAGAGAGAGAGATTTGTTGTTCCATTTATTTATGCATTCATTGGTTGCCTCTTATATGAGCCCTGACCAGGGATCAATTCCAAAACTTTAGCATATCAGGATGATGCTCTAACCAACCGAGCTACCCAGCCAAGGCCCAAGTTATTTTCTATCATATCCTTTTCATAACATTTCCTTTGACTTAATAGGTAAAATTCTTTAACAATGAAGCCCTTTAAGTTCTTCAATAACGAAATTTCCCAGAAAGGATGGCCAAGAGAGTCCATCCCTATACAATTATCCCCTCTGACAAAGGTTGCTAAAGGGAAGTTTTAGAGGAATATCTTCATTGACACGTGGTGACCTAATGATGGCTCTCTCCATCAAACTTCCCCAAGTTTTTATAACATTAGTTGTCTGTAATGCCATTTATTGGCAGTTAACCAAATACTGCACTGTGACATTTCTTATATTGAACTGTTACATATGTGTTTATGTTCCCCTCCTGAGAATTTCAATTCAGTAACTCATTCTCAATGCACAGCAACTGCCCTTTCTTCTGATTCTCACAACCTCAGGCCTATCATACTTGTGCTCTACTCTATGGTAATTTTCAGCCTCTGGACCATTTCTTTCTCTTTCATTCCTCACCTGGCCTCCCTTCTTTTCCTAGCTAACCTGGATATTATCAAGAGAAAGGGACTTAGAGAATAAGTGACTTGCAAATAAATCCTGGATCACACTTGTCAAACCAACTCAAAAAGAGTCTGGAGACTTTGCTAGAAATAAATGATATTTATTCAAAGGTCTAAGGGTTTGCAAATTGGAAACACAACTAAGCAATAGCCAGAGTTTTCCAAAAAAGAAAGAAAAGCTGAGGGTTCTTATAGTAAAAAGTATATTCTTGAGAAGAATCATTCCTGCAATCCATTAGCCTCTGGAAATGGTAATCCTCTCTATGACCACTGGTCTGGATACTGGAAGTCAAGTGGTCCGGATACATGAACGTTCTTTCTTTAGTCCTTCAAAGAGGTAATCAGAGGGTTACCTGGAGGTTTGATATATATTCAGGCATTGACACAGGACTGGAAAGTTAAAAAATATTTAAGTCCTCAGGCTAGTTAGAACAAGAATAGAATTGTTTGCTCATACCTCAACCTACTTGATTTGAGTAATTTAGCAGTTTGACTCTAGTACTCCCTTTTATTTCTTTATTCGTCATTTCCCTGCTTTTGATCAGGATTTTTCTCTCAGAAAGCAACATAGATCAAACAAAACATTTTTGAAGTCACCTGATGTCAAGACGTTAATGCCTTTCTTGGGTTCATCATGTCCTTCGGAGGGGGATTAGAGACATGCTTGTTATATATGCATTTATATTCAGCTCAGTATTTTAGTTTGAAACATTGGGAAATGACTAATTGTGACATTATTACATATCAGTTTTAGAAACCAGTCTCAGTCTTGAGAATAGGCCAATTCAATTGAACAGTGGTCTCTTATCTCAGGAGTTGATGATGCAGGTGGCCCCAAAGTTAGGCCTATGGTACTAGAAATCAGGTATTTAATAAGAGGTATTTCTATAAAAACAAAAGGAAAACAATATTTAATAATCGAAGCACACTATAATTCCAGTGTCTGAGTTCTAAAGGCAGCCAGTTGAGAAGATTTCTAGATGTCTGGCTCGAAGTGTCTTCAGATGGAGTGAAGGCAGACAGTGAAAATCTGCTAGATCCTCCTGATTTGCAGCTTGAATGGCCCTGGTGATTCTTCTGCAAGAGGCACGAATATTGTTATATATGAAAAGTTTATATCAAGTTGTCC